CGAGCCGTCGAGACGGCGGCGGCGGCGTCGACACGCCTCAGGGGCTAATGTGTAGGTGCGGCGAATAGGTCTATCGCAGCAGCCCCCGTTTCGTTTCAATTCATTAGGGGAACCGTAAAATTCTAATTCCCTGCCCGCCTACCGCTCGACACCGTTTCGGTTCCGCGGCAATCACCACCACCCCTCCTCGAGTCGTCGCCCCGCAAACTTTCCTCCCCAATCTCTTGGAATCTTGTTAAGATAATTGGACGAGTGTCGCTCGATATCGTCACTCTTCCTTCTCCGATTTCGCTCGTCCAACTGGACGCTAATATTCGAAACTTGCGTTAATCTAAATATCGAAGATGGAATATGGAATAGAACGAATGATCGGGGCGATATCCGTCTTCGGGAATGGAGAACTTTTTCCTCGACGAATACGCGCGGACGAATTATATTCCGTCCTCGGTTTACCCTGGAGTTTTGGGGGAACGAAGTGGACTCGAGGAGTGGTCTCTCGAGGGGTATAGGCAGACATAGGCGTCGGCGGTTGTCCATTGAAAGGGAGAGAGCAACAGAGATAGGACAATGACGTGGAAGAGAGGGAGAGAGAGATCTGGTTGTATCGATCGGCGTCATAAAATCCATTTTATGACTTGGACGCTGTCCAGTGACTGGTGTATTAGCCGTCGCATTGCCTCGCAAATAAAACGCTCTTCTACTCTTGAACCCCCTTTAACCACCTCGCCTCACCCTTGTCGACGTCGGACGGTCGTCAGACGCCATCAACTTTCGTTTGTGTCGCTTCCCTTTTTCTCTACTTTCGTGCTCGATACACATACGCCTTACCTTTCTCTCCCTCCCTCTCGATATTACGCGATTAGTAATGCGCGCGGATACAAGAAAATTTCGTCGAAAAAGGAGAAAAATCGATTATCGCGAAAGACGTGTTTACTTTTCATCCGGATCGATCGACAGGGAGGTGGCGACGTTTTTACGACGATACGTTGGAAAAAGGCGTCAAATGTCTAGACGGAAGGAAAATCGGGGAGAATTTGATTCATTTCCCGTCATACACACCACTCTTGGTCGGAGTAGTCGTCCTACGAATTGCTCTCCTCTCGAGGACCAGGAATACCGCTCCTACCGCTGGATAATTGAATTAATTAGATTCGCGTAACGAAAATTAAGTAGAGTTGCAACACGTAGGGCATAATGTAGGACGATGCTCTTTGCCGTTAGGATATATGCAATGAATGGAACCGATCACGAAGCAACAAGATTCGCTATTTCTCCGTTATAATTTCTGGGAAGAGATGCGATTTCCACCAATATTTTCTCGAATATAACGAAGATGTCTTCTTCGGAATATCCGACTCTTCTGACGTCGAAAGATAATACTCTTCGTGCTCGCTTCTCTTTTTCCCTCGTCTTACGCGAGTGTCCTTCTTCCCTCGAATGACTCGACGGGAATGTGTTATAAATTTTTTAAAAATTTTAACGGCGCGCGAGAAGGTTGGTAACCGAAATCAAGGACAGTGATTGATAAGTCGATCTTAAACATCGGCGAGGGGGGTTTGAAATTCAGAACGCGATCGCGAGTAAAAAAAGCGGTGCTTTCTTTTCCCTTTCGATATCAATCCGGGAGTACAGATAATAGGATCGAAGGGAAAGGATTAGAATGAAATTGAAGAAAAGTAGTTCTTAGACTTTATTTCAAGTTTAATCTTTATTAGACGAAAAGGATGTTGTTTCGAATAAATTTATAATGGGACGATTAATAAGGAATCTAGAATAAAACGGAAAGTAGGAATAAATCTGTTTGCTCGCTTAATAATCTCAAGTTCGACTGTCGTCACGCCAACGAGCGAGAATTCTTAATAACCTCTCTTTTCAGCATTCTAATATAGTTTTCGCTTCAACCCGATTCTTCGGGAATGCTGGTAGGATCTGGCAAGAGTGGAAGTTGGCACTTGTATCCCCAGGGCTTTCGAATCCAAATGTATTCGAAGGAAGCCAAAAAAGTAGTGCCAAATAGACAAATACACCGCGATATGAAAATTAAGGGAATATAAAGTGTGTCATCGAAACGGGGCCGATTTTTCCCCCCCCTCGCTCCGAATTCCAAATTAACCGCGCGTTTACGAATCAATCGGAATTTCCCCGTCCGTTCGAAAGATTCTCGAGAGAAGAACGAGAGAAATCCGAGAGAAATGTAAATTTAGCGGACGGATCTACTTCCGTCTCCCTCGTATATATGGGGTTATCCGTAGATTTGATTCGAGGCGAAAGACGAGGAAGCTAGGGAGAAGAAAAGGTCGCCCCTCTTGTTCTTGATACGGAAGCTAATTCGGCTGGAAGCCCCTCAGGGCTCACGGCTCGCCAACTTTTCTATTCCCGGTGGATATTAGCCGCGGAGAGAATAAGAGCGCGACCTGTCCCAATGCAATTAAGATAAGCGCCGGCCGATGTTTATAAATATTTCGCTCTATTCCCATTTGCCGGGGAACGTATCCGAAATACTTGGCGTGACCGGCCGCAGGCGACGACCCCAAACTTTTCCATTCTTCTTTAACGCGCCCCCTTTCCACCCCTAGGTGAACGTACGTCGCTGGTGGACGAACGGAGGGGAATCCGTGGACGGTTGAAAAATTGGAGCGTGTACGTCCTTTCTTATCACCAAATTTTCTCTCTCTCTCTCTCTCTCTCTCTCGTTTTCTGGCCCGCGACGAGGTAATTCTCCGTCCGAGCAAGCGTTACTCCACCTGCTGTCGCGTGAAAATTGCATCCTCCGGGAGTGTTGTAGGGGGAGATTGAAAGGAGAGGCGTGAAAGGATCGATCGGAATTTCGCATGCTTCGAATCGATGCGAATCGAGCTTGTTTTGTTTACTCGAAACAACGCCGATAAATAGGGGAAAGATTTCGCGACACGAAGGTGATCTCGTTTACGTCGGCTTACGTGGGTCACGAAAATATTGGGATGCGAGATTCCATCTTTACGCCTTTTAACGAGGAAAAGTATACTTTTAAGAAAGGGTGGATATAATCGGGGTTAACTGGTGTAGGTTGGAGGGTACTCGTGATTATCGGGAGAAGCAATAGTTAATGGATTCCGTGGCCGGTGGTGATTATAGACGGATGAAGGGTATCGGGCAGTCGCGATAATGTCGCGTCGTAAATAGTAAGCGATCTTAGACCGAGTTCCGTCCACGAGTGTTGCGCCGCGCGTGCTCGCTTACATCCATCTCGGTGTGTTGAGATAGTCAAATGACGATCAGATAGGGAGAACAGGCCCTTTGAATAAATCCTGAGGCCGATAGGAAGGCGGTTCCAGGAGGTTTGCTCGACAGTGCGATAGCCGATAATGGTCTGGTTCAGCCACCGTCCAATTCTAGGGTTAATTACCATCGTTTTAACCCGCTATACTCGGTTCTTAAACCGGTGGTCCCAGTCGTTTTGGAAAATTAATTTTACGACGGGGAATGCCGATACTCGCGTTGCTTCGATTTCCAACCCGGGCCACGAACTCGATTAACTAGGAAAATTCCAATTCCCCCCCTTTTCTGATCGATTGAGTTGATTAAAAAGAAGGGGGTTACGTCGATTTCGCGCGATCGATAGAAAGGAACGAAACGATTTCTCGATCTGGCATAATCTCGCCCCGTTTTGATTAATCGTTTTCCTACCATGTTTCAGGCTGTGCATTTCTCACCTACTATAGTCGTGACAGCGCAATCAGTGCCCAGAACGCTCTGCATGAGAAGCGGACTTTACCAGGGGTAAGTGTTTACGCATTTAGAACACAATTTACCTACTTTCAGGCTTCTTCCACTTGAAACGACTCATTTTACCCGCGTTACATCACGCTGTCGCTATCTTTTCCAAATCCACATTCGAAACGAATATAAAATGTCTAAATACAATCGAACGTAATTTCTCTCGAATGAATTTAAAATATTCGCTTCACTTTTAATTTTCCTTTCTCTCTAAAGATTGCGGATTGATAAAAAGAGTCGTTTGTAAAAATTTACAAACGGATGGTAAAAATTCGTCGTCCGTTTCAATACTTGTCCCTTCCCTTTCGTGGAGGTAGAGTTCATCGAAACGCGCGAGAGAATGAACCGTGCCGTAATTCCACATACAGTTCTATACGAAAAACGAGAAGGGAAAGTAGAGCAAGGAAATTGTGCAGTGACGTTAACGGATACTTATCGCTGGCGAGGCCGTATGGCGCTTTCCAGGCAAATTCTGGCGATCCGGAATATTAAAATGGGCCGGCGTGACAAGTTAATCTCTTAACGCCGAAAGGGTAGTTAGGGAAACGGAGGGTCGAATGGTGAGATGTATCATCCGACTTTCCTTCTACAAGTGCCAGGAATGGCCATGATTCTTCCTCTTTTCACGACCCCTTACGCGCAATCGTGAGTATCGAGAAGCAGGAAATCTGTTTCCAATCATTTTCCCTTCTCTTTTCCCTTTTTTGAAGAATTGGACGATTATGCGAAATAAAAGTAAAATTTTCCTTCCAATTAATTGCACGGTCAGCTGTTTCGATCTGGCAAAGTGGCGAACGAAATGGAGCATAGTTCTCTAGTAAAAATTTGCATCGATCGTAGCCGTGGGGACTGAAGAGTACAAGTGCCGGCACTGAACACTGCTTAACTGCCAGAGCAGTGCCAACACGCCCCTTCCCATTATCCAACCTACCCCTTGGAAGTCCGTAGCGAGTACTGGCGTTATGTTTCGTTAATCTATCCCCGAAACAACGCAGCTCCGGTCTTGGCACCGCTGCCAGCGGAAATCGTTTTAAATGTTATGCCGAGAGATGTGCCGGGGGTTTGGCTGAGTTATGACTTTATGAAGAGGCAGACGCGTACACGGACGCACTTTTGCGCTCCATACGCCCGTGCGCGCGTTCACCGAGCTGACCAAACACGAAAGAAAAATCCTCTTCAATTGCTTCGACCGTTCCCATCGACGCGCACCGTTTCCACATTTTTGACATTTTTATGGCCCACCCCGTAACCGGAATCTTCTTCCATAAACGATCCGTATTTCTACCTACGTAAAAAAAAAAAGAAATTTCCGACAAAAATTATTCCAATATTATTTCACGGTTGTGCACGGGATTATATTATTTGAAATTTCGTATAAATCTTTTCGTCGATCGATGGCAATTGTTCACGGGCGGAAACGAAAGGGAGAATTCCACGAAAAGAAAGGTGGACAATCGATTCGCATTTAGGATATTGAACATTTGCCGATCGACCGAGCCGAGTTGTAATATTCGAACGCACCTGAGACCATAACTCGAGCAAGCAGCGAACCCTTGATAAACAGGGATCGCAAGCTGAACGCTCCCGCTGTGCAAGCAATAACAATGCCCGTGGCTAACCGGCTATACTTAGCCCACGCTTACTGCGGAAGCGATCGTTGCACGTGCGCACGCGCTTGTTCACGCGAAAAGAAGAGAGAAGAAAGTATTTCCTATCCCGCTTCCGCCCGCGTTATCGCGATACTTGTAACGCCGCGGCAGACTTACGTCTTTGACGAATCGTTCCACCTATTCGATTACGTGGAAGAAGCATTTTTCTCGATCTTGAAACGCGGTGAAACTTTGCCTCCCGTTAACGATTCTCTGGATCATCGTTTTTCCAAAGTTTGCGTCGCTCGCGCGTTGAAACGAGATTAAATTTCGCTGAAAATTAGAGTGGAAAGTACGGAAGCCTGTGTTGCAGATTCTGTGTCGGCTCGAATAAAAGACGCGTTGCTCTTCGCGCTATTCTTTCCATTTGCTAAATGGAGAATGGGCATAATTGTTATTCGTACGAAATAAAAAGGTTTCGCGCTATTATTAACGAAAAGAAAAGAATTTTGGTTATTTTTAAATCAAAGATCGATATATATATTTCTTTAATATTATTTTACATTATATAATATATATATATAATTTTATACAGAAATGTCGGAACGTTCGCGATAAAGCCTTCCAGATTTAATTCCTGTTTATTTGCTTTGCTCGTAAGCTCGGCCTCCGTCTTGGCTGCAATGTTGGTCTAGCCGACCCCAACATTAACAGATCACCAGATGTTACTGGTGTTCACTGGTATTTTGCCGGCGACAGAAAAATTCCCATGGTGAATTCGATCGGAAATACAACTCTCTTTATTTAACTTTTTTCGCCAGAGAATTGACGATATCGATCGGTTTGGAACGAGCGCAAATATACCATACAAATTTAAGTCGAAGAAAAATAAAACTTGTTGTGTAAAGATTCAATTAATTCACGCGAAAATCCTTTAATTTCGAATTCCAAGAATATCCTCGAGGTAACGGTTTCCTAGGAAATCATCGGTCGAAAAGCCACGTCGAAATTGAGGATCGGGGTTAAGTAGCGAACAGGTTAGGGCGATAAGGTACGATGAAATTCAGAAGGACGGATTGACAAATTGGCGTCCCGATTTACGAGGGTGTAATTGCTCTATGGGGCTCGAAGGAGAAGAAACGACGGTCGCGAATTTCCACGAGGAAAACGATACTCGCGCGTACAAAGGCGGGGAGTAAAAAATGGGAAGGGAGGGAAAGAGGCGAGCGACTCGGACCGGGCATTGTTTGCATTCCTCCCTAACGAAGTTTTTGCAACTTTCGCGTGCACCTGTGCCGCCCTTCCCCTCCCAATGAAATTTCCACGCTTCTCGTTACTCGTAATTCATTAAGCGTAATTTTTCAGTTCGATGGCATTTATCCTCGGCCGCAACACAGTCGTCCACGTCTCTCTTATCCTCCTCCTTCCCAACTACTCGAAAACTATTAGGGCGGATGTTCGATAAGCAACAGCTGGAACAAAATTACAATCGATCGTTTCTCACGCGTTCGATTCCATCTTTCGCAACCATTTTACGACACTCCTCGATGTAGATCGGTTGTATTATATAATTATTATGTAACGATTATGGGAGGAAGAGGCGTCGGCTATCAAACAATTACGGGAAACTTTCCGTGGTTGCGCCTCGCGACGAGGGGTTTTCGCGAGGACGCG